TAAACTCTATTTGTCCACATCAATTTTGTCCTATTCACAACTGGCACAAGTCACGGCCAAAGTCACGTCGCAGGAGATGGAGGTTAAACGAGCTATGAAGCCACACTCCAACAATGTCCACTTTGTGGTCTGACGAAAACAAAAATACTGCAGAAACATTTGCACAAACTGTCGGTTTGTTCCTAAGAGGCCAATATGAGAAAAGGTTCATAGGAGTCAGGGTAGTTAGTTCATTTTGTCAGATTTTCTCAACCCAATTTGACAATCCTTCTTAGTTGTCATAGGTCCGTCCCAGTTACTTCCGCCAGAAAGAGCTGGTGATACTGCATCCATCCACAGAATAAACCTGCAGCAAGTCAGAGCTCTTTCAGATTCTCTACGGACCCTGGTAGAGCAAGGGAGAAAGCGAAGACACAAAGACAGTCGAAGGAACAGGGGAATTAGAATATCAATGAGCGGTAAGAAGTGGGATTGTGCTGGTCTTGAAAATTACAACAAAAATAGTAAATTCTTGTTTTTGAAGAGACAGCTGGATCAAAGAACAAAGTTAATCAGCTCTATTTTTTTTTTTTTTTTGACGAAGAAGATTAGCCCTGAGCTAACATCTGCCACCAATCCTCCTCTTTTTACTGAGGAAGACCGGCCCTGAGCTAAGATCCGTGCCCATCTTCCTCTGCTTTATATGTGGGATGCCTGCCACAGCTTGGCTTGTCAAGCAGTGCCATGTCTGCACCCGGGATACCAACCTGCGAACCCTGGTCCGCCAAAGCGGAACGTGTGAACTTAACCGATGCGCCACCGGGCTGACCCCTAATCAGCCCTATTTTAAACTTCACATGTAGTGCCAGAGCCCATCATAATAGACTAAATAGGGAAGAACAGGTCTTATATTTTGGATACTTTAATGGGTAGAAATTTGCCAAAATTTTATTTAGAAAGTTTGGGTTTAATGAAATTATCTTATTTAGCTGCTTTTTTCAAACTATTGTGAAATTAACATACACTCTTTAATAATTGTGGTAAAATATACATAATATAAAATTTACCTTTTTTAAGTGTATTCACATTGTTGTGCAACCATCGCCACATCCGTCTCCAGAAATTCTTTCATCTTCCCAAACTGAAACTCCGTACCCACTTAGATGTTTGATTTCAAACAGGCCTTGCTGAGGGCCAGCCACATGGAATGCAGGGCTATGAACCTGGAGAGGTTAACTCAGGTACCTGGCAAATGAATCAACCCCTCCTACAAGCCCAGCTGACTCAGCGGCAGCACGTGATTTTACCCTGTCTCATCTGCTTAATGTTGATGCCCAACACTGAAGCAAAGCTCTAGAAGAGATCAGGAAAAAACATTAATAGTATGCTTCATTTTTACCTTTCAGCTTACCAAGTACTTCCATTTAATCCCCCAGCATACAGCCCTTGCTCAGGGTGGGAACTCCTTTTTCCTACCTTATAGGTAATGGAACTAAGGGTACAGAAGGCAAAAGTGGGCCAGAACCCAAGCCTCCCAACCCACTGTCCAGTGCGCGTTCTACTGGGCCACGAGGCCTCTGCCAAAGCGCGGAAAGGACTGGGCACTGCTGCTTCTCGGCTCTTCCAGACTGAGAGGGCGAACCTCGGGTCTAACTGGGTAGCATGTGCTCTCTTCACCACAGCGACCAAACTTCCCTACGCCTGAAAACCAGACCTGCTCCATCGTTTCTCTACCTTCTTTGTATTTACATTGACAGCAAGAAGAAAACAACTAAAGTAGTATAATTCTGGAACAAAATTCATGCCATCAGAGTCGAGTCAAATTAAGTAAAAACAATACTAGGATAAACTACTGGGTCCTATAAAAAGATTGAGTTCAACCTCTTTATTTATTTTTAATTAATTAAAATAAATTCACATTACGTGCTTTATTAGACAAGACCATAATCTTTCTTTAGCAAGAAAAAAAAAATCTATGGAAAAATTCATTTCTGTATGCTTTATGGATAGAAAGTACCTTGTTCTAAAGCAATATAAATACTAAGGATTTACACCAAAATGCCAGAATCAACAAGTGGCTTCTTTTACTTCATAAAGAGGCAGCATATTTTTATTTCTTTCAAATACAATGCTTCCACCAACGCCCTTCTCTTTGCTCAAGAGCAATATATTCCAGAAAGCTTCAGACTTTTCAGTTAAATTCCCCAATTCCTTGGCGTCATGGCCAACAGCGTCATTCCATCTCCATACATAAACATAGGAAAATTAGACAAATCTGGCTTTTGGAGTCATCTCCAGAATGAACAATGGGTCATCCTAAGAGTAGAAAGGCAAGAAAGAACAACCATGCTTTGAAAGAGTAACCTTATTTTATAATTCTCCCCAGTTTTAGTCAATTAGTTTGATTTCTTTAAAGTGTACATTTAAAAAAAATGATTACTCAGAATATGAGAGTTGACTACAGAACTTGGAAATAAAGAGTTCAGAAGAACCAAATAAATTGAGTCCATTTTTAGTTTTGTACACAATAATTAAAGGTGATTCAAAAAAAAAAAAGGTTAAGTCTCTTCTCTTGAGGATGAGGAAGGAGGGACTGAATAAAGAGCCGTTCTGAACCTTCGAAAAGAAAAAAGGTGATTCAGCAACGAGGGCCATTTTACCCAGAGGACTCAGCAGCGCTGCTAACGCACACAAGAGCAGAAATTTGATGCAGAGTAGGTTCTCGAGAAGTTTTAATGACGACTAGAAATATCATAGGGCAATTACGGACAATCTATAAACACTTGTTGTTGCTGAATAGAGAATGCTCCTAATTTTCCAAAACACAGCTACAACCAAGCTCTTTGTATCTTCTCCTCATCTTCACTGGTCAAAAGAAAACTTTGTAATGATTGATCGTTTTCCTTAAAATTTCAACAAAATCTTAGATTGGATCACATGAAAACACCTCCTCGTATCCTCCAGAATTCTCCAATACTTTCCCTTATAGCATATTCGGCACAGTTCTTGCATTCTTGGGGTGTAAATCCAATTAATGCTCTCCCTATGGTACCAATTCCCCGGTCACTCGCCAACTTTTTAACCTGAGCTTCTATGTAATGAGGAGATACATAAGAAAAATGGTCCCCAAGGACACTGAAAGCCATGTATTGAGATTCTTCTGAGGTTTCTGTAGCTTCTTGATCTTCAAAACTCTCTACGTTGCAAGCTATCTCAATTTTCCCTTCATGAGGAAAAGCCATGGCTTGGACGCCCTTCAATCCATTCACACTTGAGCCCCGAATGGCAGCCGCAATCTCTTTTCCCACAGCCAAGTCTTGAGAGTCTATGGTAACATTGCAGTCCATCACATACGGGCTAGCGCCGATGCCTAAATCATTAGAAAAGCATGTGAATCAAGCAAAGCAAAGCCTCGTTTTGAAGATTCTATTCTTTAGCTAATTTTAATTCAGGGATTTTCCCTTACTTGGCTTTATTTAAATCAACACAAATATTCCTGATGATCAACTTCAGAATTTTCTAAAGGTCATACATATACTCTTTATAACAGAGCTCTCTGAGCTACAGGCAGACACTTTTATCTACTCTAAAAGTACCTAAAGGCTGTTTTTTCTAGAATAGTTACGAAGACCCCAATCTTCCAAAATATCAACAGAAAAAAGAAAGCACACTTGAGAACTAAATATCAACAGCAGCAAAAAGCCTTGGCCTTCCATTCATTTCCAAGGCCATCTCCATAGGGCTTGGAATTCAGTGCCAGGCCTAAGGGTCTGGGAGACAGGAGTAAATCACAGTCTATATCCATTGCTTCCTCCCCAGACACAGACCTGTTGGCACTGAGTTAGATTGACATCTGATTCAAATGACCCTCAACAACAGTCTTGGTTAGGGAAGGAGGTCACTAAAAAGTGACCAATAGCCTCAGAATTGGAAAGCGCAAAGGGACTCTCGGGTCTCAGGACAAGGAAGCTTGGCAGGGTTTGGGACACTATGTATACCTTCTTTGGAACAACCCATTGGAGGCACCTCTTTCTTCCATCCCCAGCTTCCCAAGGGACTGGAACTGCCATTGCCACTCTTGAGCCCAGGGGCAAATGTCCCACTTTCCCTGCCTCAGGGATGGTGCAGCTCGTGTTACATAAATAGTCCTACTCTAATTATAGTTTACATTGTAAGATGGACAACTTGGTTAAATTAGCATTGGTATAAAAAGCTTAGGTCTGCGGTTTCTTCATTTGGGGGAAACTTACATTTCTGAAAGCAAAGTTGACGGGGGATTGATAGGGGATAAAGGCTGACCTCATCTTCAGCACATGGCAATTCTTTAGCTACTATTTCAACATTATCTTACTGTCATTGCTTTTTCTTGCTACTTTCAAACTTATTGCTCATGATGTCAGTATCCATCAGAGATATCCGGCTGAGTTCACTTTCTGCTAGACAGCTGTGGTTGGGGGCTTTGCTGCCTAGCCTGGGTACTCTCATACTAATAGACGCTTTACAGAAAGTCAGCACACGGAAACCACAGTTCATCTTTTTCCCACACATGTACATAATGAAACATTTCAACTCCCGAGGCTGGGCCTCTTCCTACTGGGAATTCTGCAGGAATGAATCAAATTACGGTACTTCTCCATAATGCTGATTTCATAAAAATTAAATTTCCTAACAGTCAATACATTTCTCTTATAATCTCATACACCAATCACTTACTCTAAATATCTTTGAGAATTATATCAGTTTTAACATTTCACAGAGTACAACTGGAATTTTTTTTTGTCAACGCTAATTCATTCACTAAAGAAAAACATCCAAGCATGGTTTCTCTCTCCCCTACCTCTCAACAGGCAATGTTACAAATAGTCCCATTTCCTCAGATTTGATGTACACACCCTATTCTGACTCAAATAGTGGCCTCATCATTCCAACAAATAGCTGGATCACACTCAGATTTTGCTGAAGAGTATATATACTGGTTACAATAAGTACCACTATTCGAAGTACATATTGGGCCTATTGTGCTTTGCTATTCCAGAACTTTGAAATGCCCAATCAACATTCATTTATTCACATGTAATTTATGAGGATGGGGAAGCAAATCACTTTCAACAGAAGTTCCTCCATATGGGCCCAGGGCTCTTCCTCCCCACATTGCGGGGCATAGTCATTCCATCCCTATAGCCCTGGGACTTCTGAATCCCCCACCCAGCAAAAGCCAAGGCCTCTTTACCATCATGTGCCCAATAACTGTCCCTTTTTTTAGCAGAATTTCCAAAGTTGATCATTCTTGCTAATAAATGAATTCATTGCCTAAGGTAAATTATCAAAGATAGAAAAAGTTTAGATGTTAAGCCCAGAGCACAAGAATTCTAGGAAGAATACACTTGCCCCAACACTGATTTACTTAGTTAAAATAAAAACATATTTTAAAAATTCCTTCAAAAGCATAAAGTTAATCATTTCTTAGAAAAATAAAAGTAGACATCACAAGCAACTTTTATATTCTCTTTTAAACAATATAAGAGGTAACCACTTAAGACAGAATGATCATTTTTTACATATGCCCTAGTTATGAGTACTTTGAATTCTTCCATTAAACTTCAGCTGCATAATAATTTATTTTGTTTTATCACTGTATCTTATTCAAGTAGCGAATAAACAGAGACAGTCAATGAGTCTGAGAAGTCTCTGACTAACTGGACAGTAGTTTTCTCCCAGAGGGGTCATGAGGCCACGACCCATTTCTCCCTTGAAAAAAAGATAAAGAAATCTGCTTTCTGCCCAAATGCAGGCTTTTCCCATTTCCTCTATTTCCTCCTCCCCAAGTCCAACGCCAATATGGCGACCCAATCCTAGAGAACCAAACTCTGAGCTGAAATCCAGCAGCCCCACTGACCTCACGCAAATGCAGAATTTGATTTTTTATGCTAATTTAAACTTAGTAAGAATCTTTAAATAAGGGAGATAATTAATTGCAGCAAATTGTACTTCTGGTTAAATGTCATATAATTGAAGTAATTCCATTTTTGCTCTAAGATTAGAAACCTGATGTGAAAGTTTGTTTCTCAGTTTGCGGTTTTGCACACTCCTGCCTCCCGCAGATTGGCACTCGGCTGCTCTGGCGGCAGCACGAACCTCCTCGCTGCGAGCTGAAGTTCCAATTTTATTCCAACGCAACTGTCACAACGCCCTGAAGCAAGCTAAAAACAAGGAAAAAAAGCTCTGGTACGATTTCACTTTCCATGTGTTCTTTAATGAAAAATTTATCATTCTAAATATTGGTGTTTACCCCTAGTTAAATACTTTTTTTTTTATCAAAAAGAAAAAGAAACTGAGATTCAGTTGCTATTATTTCACAGGGAAATATAACAGGCCTGATGTTTTCCTGACAATTCTGTTATTTTCTTGTGTGGAAACACTGTATTTATCATATACTGCACGGCTGGTGAGTGAGATATTGTAGAGACCTTATGGTGAACTGATATAGATGTAAACTCTTTATGCCAGATTGTTTAAGCAGAAAAAAACCAAATGCACTTAATTAACATCTGATGTGTAGCTTTTGCAAACACAAATGCAATATTTGTGTTTGAGCACTGGCAGTAATGACTGTGAACTATGCTATTAATGTCTGGTTTAAAGACGCTTGTGGTAGGACCACGTCTGGAATAGCACAAATAAAAAACTGCATTCAGACAAAACAATAGTGAAGAGCCCATTAGAAAATGAAAAAGCAGCACTCAGAAGAAACACGGGCTTTTTTTTCCCTTTATGATAATCAAAATTATTCTCAAAAACAGTTCTCGGCACCATCATCTTCAATCAACTAAAGGTGAAAAGATCCAATATTTTTGCCTCCACAGAAAGATTTTCATTTTAGGGGGTCAGAAGTTGCTTAGGGATGTCTTTAGAAGTTCAATTTATTATATTAAGCTCCATTTTGGTGGCTAGTATTAAAACATGTGTGAGGAGAGAGCTGAGGTGGTGTTATGGGATATTTGGCATTTTTACATCTGAAGAGAGAACCTCAAATTTGTGGATTATATTACGATTTGAATAAATAGATTCTCATGGACCAGCATGCAACTCCCTCATTAAATACATTTTTACTGAAAATCTGCCAATTGCCAGGAACCATGTAGGTTGCTGGGTACAAAAACTCAAAAAAGGCTAAGACAAGATAAACCTACCCTAAACGTGGTCTTTGCTCACAGTAACACACAGCAAGGTAACAGACTCGGACCTCAGCTTCAAAAACATAAGCGGTCATTACATCAAAAGCAGTCAGTCATCATTACATATTGGCACATGACATTTTTTAGAACATGTACTAAAGAGAAACCACAGCTGAAACAGGACATTTGATGACTAAAGCCGTAAAACAAACATAATTGCTAAGTCCAATGCTCTCATGGCGGGAAGAATGCAGAACTCTCATGCATGTGGCCAAATCCACAGAAAAGAAAGCTGAGTGAGAACTGTGTGGCGCAGGGCTGGGAAAGGCTCCCCAGGGGTCTGGATTCAAGCTCCGCCTCTTCAAGACACTGCCTCTGCTCAGCCGTCCTTCTGCAAAATGGCTCTGGCGTTTTCCTGCTCCACGAGGACTTGTGACTCTCAAAGTCTCAACTTTGAATCTTTCAGAGTAATAATAATTCAGAGAGGACATGACAGAAGTAGGTACACATTGACACCGTCATAGAATGAAGCCAGCCCAGGCAAGAGGAGCCTCAGATGACTCGCTTGCCCCCAAGTTTATCAAAGTAGAACCAACCGTGCCCTCTACCGCTTCACGCAGAGACAAAGCCAAGATCTTCCCAGTTTCAGTTACAGGTTACATACTTACTTACATATGGAGACTTTCATCTTCTATCATCCCAACAAGATTTACAAGCAAACACAGAAAATTATGAAAATAGGTTCCTTAAAATAAGACTCATGCCAAAACTGGAAATTATTTTTCAAAGACTAGGGAAAATATTTGGTGTGAAGTAAATTGTGTTACTCAATGTCAAGAAAAGCTCCTGATGCTGCTTCTTATTTACAGAGAGAGAAGCAAGCAGGGGCAGCTCTCAGTAATCCATTTAAGTAACGAAACAGAAGTGCCTGATTCCAAGACGTACCAACCGCCTCCACCTATGATTCCAAAGGCCTCTTAGGAAACTACGGCTCAAAGAATAGTCCCAGTATTTTTAAACAACGATGCATATATGCAGGCCATTCATACAACATATCAGCCAGCAGTGTTTAAATTATCCCATAAATGTTTAGGGTTTTAAAATATATATGTTTAAAGTATTTATTTATAGATCTGAAAGTATCAACTATTACTGCTTTGCCCGTATTTCTGTTCCCCACGTGCGGGCCAACTACAAACTTTTAAAAGGAATTTGGTTTAAAAGATTTTGTGTGTTTGGCACTGACTAAGAGTGTTAATCATTTCTGAGCTCACTTTTCCTCTACTGTTTATAATATTCTCAGGGAACTTCAAAACAGAGACCTGTTCCCGTATAGATTGTGCTTCCTCTTGGGTACTGTGGAGATTAATTTGTCACTGGAAAGTTAACTGTAAGTGTTCGGTTGATAGCACCAATCATTTCTATTTAATTTTTTTAGGAAAAGAAATAAACATAGCAACAATGTGTTGAGGCTTTTCTGTTTTGATGGGAGGAGTGGAAAAATATGTTGAGAAACACTGATGTAACTAAAAAAATGTTAGAAAAATATATAAAGACATTAAATTTGAAAATGAGGGAAATTTCCATTGTTAGAAAATAAATTCACTGAAAAATGAGATGAATAACATTTCTACCCTAATGACAGAGGTATTATAAATTCTACTTCAATAGATATTACTTTTAAAAAGTGAAAGCTTTTTACTCCTCCCAACACAAATGTTTTTTAAGGGAGAATTTGCGCAAGGAAGGTAACCTAAGACTTCGGTTGATCACGTGTCTTAAACTTGAATTACAATCTGGTTAGTGAAATATTAGAAACTAACTGTTTATCCGCATCCTTTAATCGCTGCTCCTCTTTGAGACATTTTCTTTTTCTGCTCTTAGCATCTGCCGTGAGCCTATTAAATGAGGGTCTCTCAATGAACAAATGGTCTGCCTAACCTTGGTAACTCTTGTAATTTTCATGTTTTTTGCACAAACTAAGGTTTCTACCACTTGTCAGGAGATATTAGCAAAAAAGACAAATGGGGGAAAAGTTGTGCTACTTTTTCCTTCTTATCTTGAATCTTCCATCAAATCCAATTTGAATTAATACATTAAACCCCAGCTTTTATCAGATTGACCAGTGATAACCTTAATAATTATCCTTCATGAAAGATGACGGGAAATAATCACAAGATCGATTTAGAGAAATTATGAAAATAATTTGGAAGCTTTAAGAATTTAAAATTAAGAATAAAAATTTTTCCTATAAATACATGAGATAAATAAAATAGATGCATATGTACTTTATGATATTGAGATTACGCTGTTTATACTACTTTATATCCTTTGCCCTTGACACTGATGATTTCCTCGGCGTAAGGCTCTTTGCATCTCCCCTTGGCTAACAGCCACATTATTTCGAGACTGTGTTCCTGTGCTGTTCACAAGGAGGCCTGCTTCAGATTACCCCATTTAAAATCACCCCTCACCTCCATCCCAGAACTCACGATGCCCTGGGTCCTGTTCAATTTTCACTTTTATTTTTTTGGCAGCAGCACTGATCGCTTTCTAACAGACCATATGACTCCTTATTTATTAAGCTTATTATTTATTGTCTGTCTCCTTGCCCCTCCCCACTGGAACATAAATTCTTTGAGGGTATATAGACTCCACTTTGTGCACTGATGGTAGTGCTTGGCACATACTAGGTACTTAAGTAACATTGGTTGCACTGATTCATCAACTACCAATTCTCTCTACACTGTATTTTCCATGTCTCTAAAAAGTCTTCCAAAACTTCACGCTTCATTGCTTGCACAGTAGTCTTTCGGTTAGGCATGCCACAGCTTATTGAATCATTCTCAAATATGAAACACTTACATTGTTTCCAGTATTTGCTGCTATAAATAATGCTTTGATGAACATACTTGTACATAAATCCATCTACCTTTAATTGTTTCCTCAGGATTCATCTCCAGAACTAGAATTCCTGCAGGGCAGTTAAGACATTTCTTGCTACATATCATCAACTCACTTCCAAAAAGTTTATACCCATTGATAGTACCATTGGCAGTATGAGTGCCTCTAACTACATCTTTACCAGTATCAAATATTACCTTTAAAATATCATCTTTAAACATTTCTGTGACAATTTTTGCATTTTAAACCTCAATTTAGGATTTTCAGAAGTTGATGAAATTCTCCACGTAAATCACAGAGCTCCATGTGGAGTAAAAACAGAGAACAAATTAGAAATCCCAATTGGTTGTCCATTTCAAATCAAGCAACGTAAAACAGGTGAGATCGCCCCTGCCACAGGCAATCATTAGATGAGACCAGGAAGCTAAGTTTGCTTTGGTGTGAACAAGTACAAACTGAGTCTGTTCTTAGGAGACTAAATATGATTAGGGACAATAGGGACATTCGGTCTGTAAGTCTGATACGCTTGTTAAATCAAGTTAACGTTCTTCCCAAATACTGACGCATTCATTCTCACAGCACTGCAAAAATGAGAAGTACGTTTTTCAAGGTTTGCCTACCCTAACGCTGAAGCCAGTGCTTCTGTCCTCTGCCACGAGCATCCCCGTCTCTACCTCCCGTCCTCAGACTGTGACCCAGGCACCCGGCTCTGCGCTGACCAGGTTTGTGTTATTCTCTCCGCAGTCTTCAGTGAGCTCAAATGAGAAACCAGGAAATAGATTTCTGAAAATTTAGTCACTAAACTTATGCTGCTACCCTTGCTGAGATAAATCGTCAGAAAGTACGTGAGGCTCAAACTGGCAAGGAGAAATCAGCTTCTTCCTTTTTTCCAGAACTAAATACTGAAATACATTTATAATCACTTTTTTATAAATCTCCTCTCTACAGGGAAGAAAAAAATGGCCCTTTAGTACTGTGTTTGGCACTCAATAGACATTTCAACTTCACAGTCTCCTGAGGGAGATGCCATTATTATATCCATTTTACAGATGTGGGAACCGAGGCTAACGAGATGAAGGAACTCTCCGAGGTCCCTCGGGCAGTAAGCAGCAAGGCCTGGATTTGAGCACAGCCTCAAAGCCTGTGCTTTTCTCTTTGTGCCACTCTACTTGATTACAGAAATCACTCGGTGCAGGGCAGAATTCTGTAGCAGGGGTCAGTAACCAGAGGCCTCTGTGTAACCGCGGCAGAGCTGGGCCACGAAGAAATGTGTTTCTTATGCCTGCCCACCTCTTGCTGCTTGGGTATCTAGTAACTGCTAAGGTATTAACCGACTACCAAAATGTTACCTAACATGGCTTAATTGTGACCCCTACAGAAGATATCTGAGAATGAAAGAATTAAGACTCAAATAAACGGCACTAGCATAGTGAAGTGCAGGGACACTGGCTGGAGTTCTGGAGAGGGGCACACTGCCTTTTCCTAAGGTAAACCCTAAGCATGGGGAGGGCTGGCATAGCAGACAGAGGCCAGAGTTGGTGAGACCCAGGGGAAGGAGGAAATACCATCCCTGGCGTTTGTTCTCTCTGTTCTGGAAGACCGATGTCTAGAAAAGCTTTTCTCCAGGGTGCCTCTAGAACTGATGTCTGGCTGTAAGCATCAGCTGAGCCAGACTGGATGTTCAAGTACTGAAGGACTTCCTACCAGCTACAGGTAACCTCTGCCCAAGTCCCTACCCCCAGGCGTCCCCCGCACACCCCAGGACACAACCTCACAGCTGGCACAACCACGGGCCTCCAGGATCCTGCCCTGGTGTCAGGAGCTGCCTGCCGTACTGCAGGGCTTGTTATGCATCGGGAATATCACTCCCAGGGGCTCTCATCAATCCTCTGACCAGGGCTTCTAGCCTCTCTGCTCAGCTTATGAAGGCACTGGTGAGTGAGTGGAGACCCTCCCCAGTTCAAGCAGGAGCCCCAGTTGTAACCCTCCTGCATGACGCAGGACGGACCGAATGAAGGGGTCCTCGGGATTCTATCGTCAAGTTTACAAACAAAAGCAGAACACAACCAGACTAAGCACCTGTTAAACCACATCTCCGGGCAGGCGCAGCTCCCAGGTCGGGTTCCAGAGTACTGAAATCCCTCCTCGTGAACCAGCCCAACTGTTTCCTTCTCTGGACGAGAGTGCGCTTCTCAGGCAGGTCGGCCTCCCCAAAGAGAAACAGGCTGCAGCCGGGCACGTGCAGCAGCAGACTCTCAGCAAGGCCTGTGGGCAGCGGGAAAGTTCAACAAAATTAAACTAAAATCAGGCCCAAAGAAAGAATATAGAGCATATAATTTTTTTATTTGGTGAAATATATTTAGCACAAAATTTACCACTTTAACCATTTCTAAGTGTGCAGTTCAGTGGCATTAAATACATTCTCAGCACTGTGTCACCATCACCACCAAAGCATATAATTTATACAAATTTTAAAGATCAAAATTTAAGCATAATTAATTTTCCCTTGAAGTTAGGCTCAGAATAAAAGTCTGTCTTTGTACAACAGCTGGAATTTCTTAGCCATTACCAACCTAATCTCACAAGGAAAAGTCATCGATAAGATTAATGAAGTAAGCGCCTTCAATTTGTGAACAATTTTATAAGAGCCCCAAATTGTGTATATTGCTAGGAGAAATAAAATGTCAAGAGCACAAGGGCCAGATCTGCACTGTCCAATAATGTGCTAATTAATTTTAACTTTAATTAATTAAAATGAATACAATTAAAAATTAAGTTTTTCAGTGGCACTTGCTACATTTCAAGCGCTCAGTCACCGCACATAGTTAGTGGTCTCCCTACTTGACAGCACAGGACATCTCTGCCACCGTAGAGAGTTCTGTCAGACAGGCTGGGCCACACGGTCTATAAGGGTGCCTAATATTTAAACCTAGTTTTATGGGACGACAACACTTCTTTCATCCTCTTCTTCCATTCCTTCTATCTAGATTCTGTCTCTGATCTCTCTCCTCCAGGCAGATCACAGAACTGCTTTCCTGTTTTTTCTAGAGAACCACTTCAGAGGACCTCTGTCTGTAGCTGACAGCATGTTTCCACCAATCACAGCCCCCTGTAAGCAACGATAGAGAGAGCACAAATTTTTGTCTGATGTATAAAATGCAGGTACTTAGGGAATTTTGGTGCCGGCCCGGGGCAGTGGAGTGTGGGCTTTCTTTACCTGGAGGTACATCATGGAACATCAGAGGCTGAGACGGGGCCTCTGGGCACAATAAGCACAGGAAACTTCTCCAAGAGCAATTTTAGGGTTTGTTATTTGTTTGTTTCTAATATAGACTGCCATGTTGATGGGAGGGGTGAAATGTGGAGGACGCCAAAAACGATTCCGTACCTCTGGGTCATATGAAGTCTTGGGAAATGTTCTTTCTCTGAGTCCAGCAGGGACTCCAGCATTAGGATCCCATGATGTTGTAGACACCAGGAAGCCAAGAAAATCTCCCAAACTTACTAAGTGATCTCTGCTTTTTTCACACTACTTTAAGATACGAAAGGACCCCTGCTCCTGGGGGTGGGGGGACCAAATGCCAGGGACACTTAGAGTCAACTGAGGCTTAGGAATTGTAAAATAATGTTTAGGCAGTTAGCTAAATTTTCCCCTCAAGTCTGGAACGGTGGGGGGTGGGGCGCAGAAGAAAGGGGGAAACGTTTAGGGGAGTTAGGAAGTTAAGACATCTTAACATTGGACAAGTTTCTAAATTGTCCAGATTGCTGATCTCTGTTCCAGCCATCATTGAGAGCGCCTGGCACTTTGGCTGCTGCAGGAGCCTGAAGAACAGCCTGCGATGCCGAAAGCCTGTCCGACTGTGCCCTGCGCCCCAGCCTCTATTCTTCCCAGCTCTCGGCCCTTCCAGGCCAGCACCTCCATTTGGAGTGACAGCTCTGGAGAATTGCACACATTTACAAAGCCCTGAATGCTGCGGAGGGGCATTCTTGGAGCCTGGTTGCTAAAGGGCAAAGCAGTGGAAGATATTTGCAGTAGCAACTCCCAGCTGTCAGCAACTGGAGGGTCCGTGGCAGGGTGCATTTTGGCTTAGCAGAAATAGCATATGTTTTTGAGGCCAGAAGATATCAATTTGAATAGCATTTCTGCTCCTTAATAGCTATTTGGGATCTTGAACAATTTACTTGACATCTCTGAGCCTCAACTTCTCTATCTATAAAATTAAAAAAAAAAAGCTTCCTCCAAAGCACCAACTCTTTATCTAGAAATTTGGCAATTAAAAGAAAAAAAATAGAGGCCAGCCCAGTGGCATAGTAGTTAACTTTGCACACTCTGCTTTGGCGGCCTGGGGTTTGCACAAGTTCAGATCCCAGGTGTAGACCTATGTACCACTCTTCAAGCCATGCTGTGGCAGTGTCTCATATGCGAAATAGAGGAAGACTGCCACAGATGTTAGCTCAGTGACAATCTTCCTCAGCAAAAAAACTCAAGCATTTATCATGCCTTTCCTGTATAAACTGTATTTCAGGGTAGCCAGATAGCTTGAATTAATGAGGAAGATTTTATTGTTTCTTTCAGGGAAAGATTTGCCCTGAGTTAACACCTGTTGCAACCTTCCTTTCTTTTTCCTTCCCAAAGCCCCAGTGCATGTTTGCATATCCTAGTTGCAAGTCCTTCTAGTTCTTCCATGTGAGCCACCACCATAGCATGGCTGCTGACAGACAGGTGGTGTGGTTCCGCAACTGGGAAGTGAACTTAGGCTGCCAAAGTAATAAGAGCGCCAAACTTTAACCACTAGGCCATCAGGGCTGGCTTGGAAAGATTTTTTTTAATAGAAAAAATACAACTACTAAATGTAGAAGTAATGATATAATTTAAAAAATCACCATTTTGCATCCCCTAAGAAAATAATTGTTTTAGGCAAAGATTATCAATGGATGAAACCCTCATGAAATGTCAATTCGGAACAATTTATCTTTGCATCACCAGAAGTGAAATAACCAGACATCGTGGCCTCCCGATATGATGCAGCATGAAGCTCATAGCCCACCATTGAAGAACTGTAAAAAATTGGACTTCAAACCAGTCAAGCCTCTAGAGCTACTTAAAGTTTGTAGGAAATGTGAGGGATAAAGATACAAATTAAATGACACCACAAGGAAGCAAACAGACAGGCCCAGAGTGTGCGAATTCTATGACTGCTAACCCAGTTTCTGCGATCAGTGAACGGGAGGAAAAATGATGGGGCAGGGGAACTGGTCTAGATCAAGACTCAGAGATAAAACAATCAGTGTATGTGCGAACCATGTGTAGACCCAGATTCAAATAAGCTCATCAGAAAAGACGTTTGCCCCATTATATACTGGGTGTTAGACGGTACCAAAGAATTATGATTTTGTCGTGTGTGATAATGGCATCATGGTGATGTGAGATGTCCACATTGCTTAGAGATATATATTAAATATGTAGGGGTGAAATAACATGATCTTTGGAACTTGCTGTAAAGTACTTTAGTTAAACCAAAGGGAAAAAAGAAGGAGATGAAAAGAGAAAAAAGAAGAGAAAAATAAAGAAAGTAAAGAAAAAAATAAAGTAACAAAACTACCCCATAAAATGGATAAAGACATTAAGATTAGAAAAACTATATCCAAAATATATAAAGAACTCATGCAACTCAACAACAAACAAACAAACAACTGGATTAAAAAATGGGCAGAGGATCTGAAGAGATATTTTTCCAAAGATATACAGATGGCCAAAAGGCACATGAAAAGATGCTCAACATCACTAATCATTAGAGAAATACAAATCAGAACCACAATGAGCTATCACCTTATATCCATCAGAATGACTATTATTAAAAAGACAAGAAATAACAAGTGTTGGAGAGGATGTGGAGAAAAAGGAACTCTCATACACTAGAATTACCACACGAGCCAGCTATTCTACTTCTAGATATTTACCTAAAGAATACAACAACACTAATTCGAAAAGACATATTCACCCCTATGTTCATTGCAGCATTATTTACAACAGCCAAGACATGGAAACAATCTAAGTGCCCATCAATGGATGAATGGCTAAAGGAGATGTGGTATATATATATATATACAATGGAATGCTACTCAGCCATAAAAAAGATGAAATCTTGCCATCCATGACAGCATGGATGGACCTTGAGGATATTATGCTAAGTGAAATAAATCAGATAGAGAAAGACAAATACTGTATGATTTCACTCATATGTGGAAGATAAACACAAAAACAACAACAAACGAACACAGATACAGAGAACAGACTGGTGCTTACCAGAGGGGAAGAGGAATGGGGGGAGGGCAAAAAGGGTAAAGGTGGACATTTGTATGGTGATAGATGGAAATGAGACTTTTGGTGATGAACACAATGTAACGTACACAGAAGTCAAAATATAATGATAAATACCTGAAATTTATAAAATGTTATCAACCAATGTGACCTCAACAACACAAAGAATAAATATATATACAAAAATTTTGTATATTGGTATAATTAGATTTATCAAAATAATGAGTGAAAATATAAAAAAAATAGATAAATTAAGAAAAGCATCTGGCACAATGCGGGGTCCCCCAACTCAGTGAATGCTGGCTTCCTCTCCCCTTGGCAGGCCTACGCCACTGTTCTGAGTTCTGACTACCCTCCTGGACTGTCATGTCCCTACTTACTAGAAATTCCCCTATATTTTAACATACTCATCTTCCGTTATCTCTTCTACACAACCTCATGACAGAAGGAATCAAACTTAATTTCTGTTCTCTAATGAGGCCAGGAAAGGAAATATTTCATTATCCCTATACCGTGAAAAGACATCCAGAGCTGAAGTCTGTTTAGTAACAGAGATCACGGACTACACCCTTCACACTCAAGGAAACAACCTTGTGCTTCTAACCGAGGGCCCAGGGCAAGTAGCTATTTGTAATTTTGCTGAAAAGTAAATTTAGATTGCCGGCATCTCAAAGAAATGTCTCAAATTTAGTTAGAAGAATACTTACTAGCAAGCTATTCTATTTGTGATATAAATAGCACATTCGAAAGAGCCAGTTTTAATTTTACCACTTTATTTTCACCGTTAACCTATGTAAAAATCATCTCATGTAATTTCAAGTGCTAACATCATGCAAAAAGTAGGCCTCTGAAAGAAGATAAAAATTCTGAATATTTCAAGCTCAAACCTTACGTGGGAAGCTCTCTCATCTGTTTTCAGGTAAGTGGCATTATTATTTAAAAC